CAAAAAAAAAAAAAAAAAAAAGATGTTGTCACTTGTAGGCACCTTACACATAGGCACAAATCACACATTCAGTTGACCGTCTCCACCTCACCTACATAGCTACATTCACAAGCCTTGAAGATGCAGCTGTACGACAGTACACACCCTGACACGGCACCCACAGCGGCTGACTCGGGAACACACCCCACTCACAGAAAGACAGCTCTGCCATCCACACGTCCACGTGCATCCGATATCGTTCTTGACAGTGCACAGATCACTAAGGGCTCCGTACATACACTGTCCACACAACCAGCTGGTGAGAGATGCCTGCCATAGCAGGTGTGGGGAGCCCCAGTCCCACAGCCCCCTCTAGAGGGTCCCAGGACAGCCTGGCACCAGCTACCCTGTGAGTGTTTAGGAGCTGGGATGTTCCCAATGCCTGGGGTAGCCCTGTTCCCTGACCCTTTGCCCACCTGAAGTCCATTGTGTGGGGCTCTCACTAGGAGCACAGCCTGCAGGGACTGGCTGGGCTGGAAGCTGGGTCACCCCAGGTGGTACCGATGGCAGACAGACCCAGCCTTCCTCCATAGCGGCGAGTGAGCGGAGTGCTGGCACAGCCGGCCGGCTCAGGTGCTCAGAACTCCAGGGGAAGGAGGACCCGATGAGGGTGCCCCCTCCTTCCCACCTCTGGGATGTGTGATAGGGAGCTCAGGGACCTAGGAGTCCAGCCAAAACTGTTCTCGGGCAGTCAAGACGTGTGGCTTCAGTTAAGTTCTATCCCTGTCTGGAACCTGGCTTTGTTCCTTTCCAGGTCTGAGCCTCGGTTTCCCCATTTGCCAAAAAAGGAGATAGGACAGACAGTGTGCAGTTCTGTAATTCCTCCTTCCCCTGTGGTATGGACTCACCCTGGGGCCTCTGCCCCGACCCCAAAGGGAGGATTCCTCTCCTCCAGCTCACCTCTACCTCCGGCCCCAGGCACAAGTCCCGCGGTTCCCTGCGGCCCCTGCCCTGCCTCGCCCACCTGAGAGTGCTCAGCACGTTGAACTCTCAGAATTTATCAAGCAGGCTTCTCAGCTCTTCCCCACATGGTGCAGGGGGAGACCAGGCAGGGACGCCTGCTGTGCTTCACAGAGAAGAGAGTTAAGCGTGGAGAGGTTTAAAAAAAATGTGTTAAGGGAATCCTCCAGAGACCAAGCTGAGCAGCTGAAATGGGCAGGACCTTCCTCTTCGGGCAAACCTTTGGGTTCCTCTGCTGTGGCTTGGGGAACAGGGACACCCAGAAGAGACGCCTGGTGGAAATGAAATGAAATGGTAGGGAATGCGACTCAGCATAGCAAAGGTAGCCCTGCTTCAAGATCAGGTTTGCTGTTAGGAGTGCGGATTGCCCAAAGGAAGGCATGAGTTACACGTGGCCACACAGGTAGAAAAGCCTGCCCTGGGCTGATCTTCCTGCTGTCCTGCTCCCACCAAGGACCAGTTCGCCCTTCCCCTTTTCACATCCACCCTGCAGAACTCTGCTGCCACAAGGCTGGAGGTAGAGGAGACAGGGCAACACCAGGTGCAAGGATTGTGTTCTCAGAGACCTGGATTCCAGTTTCCCCACCTCTCTTTCCCCTGCTAAGTGACTTGAAAGGACTCCGTCGTCGGTCGTCTGTGCAGCGGATCCCTGTACCTCCCTGCTCTGGAGTGATGGAGAGAGATGCAGGACCGGGACTCCTCTCCCACCCTGCCTCTCTCCCCTACGCAGGCGTCAGGCCCAGGCACCTCCCG